TGGTTTTCCTGGGAACGATTGATGCATCAATGAGCATAACACGCTCCAGCACAATCTGCGCGATGCGGTCCCCAGGCCTCACAATGAAGTCCTCATCCCCATGATTGAAGAGGATGACCTTGACTTCTCCGTTGTAGTCGGGATCGATGACTCCGCCGCCTACAGCGATCCTGTTCTTCACGGCTAGTCCTGATCTGGGAGCTATCCTAGCATATACCCCCGCGGGCATCTCTATCGAGATCCCGGCACTAACCAAACCTGACCCCCCTGCGGAAATACACACTCCCTCAGAGGCATAGGTGTCCAAACCCGCACTCCCCGAAGTAGCCCGCGTCGGGATCTTGGCATTTTCGCTGTCAAGACTGACGTACAAAGTATTTGGCTTCTTCTTCCATCGCTGCTCAACCGGATCAACTTCGACCGGCATAGCACTCGCGACCTTCTTGAACGCGCCGTTCGGACACCAGGCTCCAACGATTGCCTCACACATTGCACTTGGATAGAGAGGAGTCGTCGGGGCGACCGACCCCTCAATGCGTGCATGAAGGTAACCCTTTTCGTGCTTGCATTTTCGACCTGATAGTTCATCAATGAGCTCCTTGGAGGTTGTCGCAGCCTTCCACTGCTTCCTGATCGGCACACCGTCCTTGTCCTGCATTCCGAAATCACACCCGTCAAAGTCAACGGTCTCGACATCAGGATCAGCAAGAAACCTCTGCATGAATGGTTGCTTCCATCCAAGACAGTGTCTAGGCCACTCAAATGCAACCCTGCCCCCTCCTCGCCTAACGGCTCGGGAGGCCCGCAGGAATGCTGCAAACATCACCTGAGAATTCCTTCTCAGATGACCTAATCCTGTGTCCTTGCCCAGCGAAAGCATTGTACCCGACATTCGGTCTTCCCTGAGGTCCCCGAGGATGTTGCTGAGCAACCTGAATCATGTCAGCTGCGTCATCAACATGTCCTTCAATCTTGGCAAGTTGCCCGATAATTCGGTTATTCGCCTCATTCACGACGCGGATATTCCCTTCGACCGTGTTGACCCTACGCATAGTCGCGTCAAGCATGTTACGATAGTAAACAAGCTCCCGCCACTCCCGCCTAACGATGGATTGAATCTGCTCCGCACTCAAAGGAAGATTGTCAAGCTGAGTCCTTACAGCTTGTACAGCCTGCTGGAGCCTTTGAGTATTCTCGTTGAACAGCCCCAACGTCCTCGAAGATGGCACCGTAATCCCGAGCTTGGCGATAGACTCGGCGAGTGAGATCCTGAACCCTCCTGTTATTTTCCTCAACTGCTGCACGCCAATCCGGAGGGTCATCAGGGTCCCTAGGCCTATCGGCAACGATGAATTCTCTGTCGCTCCGTGACTCGGGCGTGAGAACAGGGAGAGGCGCACGATCAGCCAGAGTCCGAAATTTGTCCTGGAGATCGCCAATGGACTGCGAAGCCCACCTCGCATGCCGATCATGCTCACTTTGGAGTATGCCGACTCTAGTGGTTAACTGCTCGCGGCCCCATCGGGCCCCGATGCAGTCGGAGCACCAGAAGATGTGTTCGGCCTAACGGCCTTCTCCGCCAAAGAGAGTCGCTTCTCGAACTTCTCAATCTCAGTGTTGGTCTGATCCTCAAAGGCAGCATGACTTCTGAACAAAGCATGATGCTTGTCTTGGATGACCTGATGAAGCAGACTTAAGCCACCCTCTATCTCCCCAATGGATTTCGGGACTTCGTCGGAGAGCGAATTGATCCTCTGATCCACAATCTCACTCTGCTCATCAACAGCATATCTAACGATCGCTTTGCTATCAGGAATGATTTCACCGGCAAACCGTTGTACTATCATTCGCATCCGACCAGCATCAGCCTGGGTCGCAACCTCGGTAGCCAAGCGGTCAACCTTGTCCTTCATCTGCTGATTCTCATCACGCCATTCTCGACGCATGGAACTCTCCTCACCATTCAATGACCTGATCTGGTTAGCAAAAACGTTGAGAGTGTTCACAACGGAACTAGAGGCCTCACCTCTCTCGAGCATCTCCTGAATGTGCAAATCAAAGACCTCCTTACTCCTGGCATCACCGGACTCGTCAGAGGAATGAGATCTAAGAGCTGGAGGGGTCGATATCTCGATCCTCTCAGGACCTCTGTCAACTCTATCGCGCCCCGTCGGGAACAGGATCATCAGTGATCCTGAGCAGCGTGTTCGGACTAAGGCCCCTTCTCCGACTATCGCCGGGTCTGGGATTAACATTCGAACCACGAGATTCAGGAGTCGAATGGATATGAATGTCAGCAGGATCAAACATGTCCTCATCCTGTGGCGTTGAACCTAACGGTTCAGGACTGGCCCTCCTTGCCTTCGACCTATCGGTCCCTCCGGCTAAGGGTGAAGGCCTCTTCGCAGAAGCACTGCGCTCCCTGCTGGCTGATCCCCACTGAGGGGTGAACTCATTACTAGACCCCAGTGGTTCGAGGTCGCTGAGATCTCGCCCTAACGGGCTAGCGATCGACGGAATCCTCAATTTCAAGCGCATTAGCAAGCCTGCCGTCTCTTGCACCTGCTTCAACCACGTTGGCAGCACGTTCGGTGATCCTGGAGGAACCAGTATCCCGGTTCATACTCTCAGCCCTCTGATGCAGCGGTCCTCCGAAGGTGATGTTGGGAAAAGGGGGAACATTCGGGGTAGGGTCTAACGCGGGAGGACCTCTCGCTCCTTTCCGGTCATGGATGGCCTCCAAACCCCTAAGAACGTCCCGGCTGTCTCTTTCCCTTTCTCTCCCTCCGGGTGTCCCTGTCAACATGAAGGTCGTCAACATGAAGGTCCCTTGCAGCTCCACGAGAGAGACTTTTGGGCCTAGCAGCAGCTCGGCTCCTTGCGCTTCGTCGTGCCAAACTCTCTTCCTCATCACGACGATCCGCAAATGCGGCATAATCTTCATCATCATTGAACTCAAACTTGGTCGAAACAGAATTAGGCCTATCGGCATCAGACTCCTGTTTCACGCTACTGCCCCAGCCTGCGGTTGATGTTAACATGGCCTCGTATCCGATGCCTGTAAACGTCCTCAGTGGATCGAACCGAGATATCTCTCGGAGCCGAAACCATGGTTCCCGGTCCTCGCGGCCTGTCCCCGAGCTGATTCACCTGGAACAAGAGACCTTGGGGATCGGGCGGGCATGGCCTCCGGGTCGTCCGAATGAGGGCGGGCCATGTTCATCGCCATGCTGATGAAGTCCAAATGTCCATGCCTGAAACCTGGTTCGGAGCCGCCCCTAGCGGGACGAGCTCTTTGTCCTTGCTCATCATCGGTGGCCTGACGGAAAATGTGATCGTCTCCATCGTCAGTGCACCACGGCTCCTGGGTGTGTCCCTATCGGGATCATCACTTCTGCGATCCTGACCTGCTGAACCTGCCTCAAATTCCTCGAAGTTATAGTCCGGCAAGTCCTCACCTGATCGGAGACCACCTAGGATAGCCTCCTCATCCACGACACTCCTCTGAGAGCGTGGGGTTGACGTCATTGAGCTTGTAGTTGATGGTCTCAAGCGCGTAGGAAAGTCCTACGGCTGATAACCTGTGATTCGGGCACGAGCCTGTGCCCAGGCAATGGGTAAGTTGGGGTAAACAAGCCACAAAAGAAAGGTTCCCCAAAAGCAAACCAATCCCCGGTCCCAAAGATCAGGGTTTCCCACACACCAGAGAACAACAACCAAAAGGGAAATACCAAAACAAGTAAACAAGTACCCGCAACCTTGATCGACGATGAACCGCACGGGCGGACCCCACCAATCTGCCCCGGGCCGATGTCTCTTTCTCCACCGACACGAAGGTGATCGACGCGGGGACCCGGCGACGCTCATCCGAGGCGCGACGGACCCGCAAACTTGAGCCAAACATCACAGGTCAGTCACTACCGCGACATCCCTGATGATGCAATGAATCATGGCTAATCACATCTTTCTCTCTGCCAGCTGTCTGCCCCTTTTGGCAGGCAGGGCAAGTCTACTTGAGTTCCTTCCGTAATCCATTGCGATTTTGATGGCCTGTACCCTCCAAGGGGATACCCCTTTTGAATAGGGACCAAAGGGAAAAATCCTGCACTCCCAGAGAACCCTAGAAATCCATGCATTGTCTTCCCCGAAAGAATATCTTGCAGTAGGCCGTCCTTATCACAAGGGGCAAGGGATTTGTTCACCGGCAAGCTCCCGCGCCTCCGACTCAGCATCAGACTCGCCTGCACCATTTCGAAAGCTTCCAGTATTCACAGAAGATCGCTGATCCCACATGATACTCATGAGCTACAAACAGCTAGGTGTCTGAAGACGCTGTTTTCTGGTTGGCATGGTCATCACAGTCTCACTTCCCGATTGGTTTCAGGCTGTTGCGGGAACATGGGAAATTATAATGGGGTCTTGCAAAGCATTGTTCTTGACAGCTCTATGCTGTGTGCAGGAACAACAAACCCAACACTTTCCCCTCCCTACCACTGCTAGCCGCGTGACGTTGATAATCTTTGCTGCCAGTAGATGCTGTAAGCTCACAATTCACAGAACAAGGGCTGCTTGTCAGCGGCCAAGGTGCCAAGAGCACTCTCCGGCAAGCCGGACTCAACCTGAGCTGCATGTGATGCACGTTCATCCCACTATTGCTTGCACAAGCGTTAAACTGGCTGCACTGCCAGGTTTTCATGCGGCAATAAGGGCTCGACAGAGTTCATCATGGTTGACTGGGCGGCCCATGCAATGCGTGCAAGCTGCCTTGCAATGTGCATCAGTGTGCGTCGTTGAGCTTCATGAATTCAATCAGGCGATCTGCAAGGCAGAAACATGCTGTTGTGAAACTCCGCCAATCAGCTGTGTTGTTGCTGTCAGCTCTTCCATGACCAGAACTTGAATTTCGAATAACACTCTACGAGTCTGCTGGAGACAAAGCCTGCTACGTATGTCGGACCATCATCAATCTGCGTAGCACTTGCTCTGCATCTCACTCTTTTGACATTCCGCATGTGGCCGTCGGGCCATCGGGCCATCTTGACATCGACACACCACCCCTGGCGCTCTCTGCGCAGGGATGCCGCCGCGCTCGCGGAAGGCGCGGGCCGGCAGAGCTCCGTTTCTCGTGCCCCGCGTCAGTCTTGAACCGACCAGCCACTACATTTCTGCAAGCAAAGCCCACCAAGATTGGAACAAGCGCAAGCGCCAGCGCCCACTCTCACGTCACCGGGGAAAGAATGGCTTGTGAAACACATTGCTAAGCTGTCGCACCTCAGTTCCATGTCCATAGCTACCGAGAATGGATTGGAATGCCACTCAAGTGTGCTACGCACAATCAAGTCTACACCTGACGCACCAGCCTTCTTGTCGCCAATGCCACTGCAACGCTGCAAATCCTACACATCGCAAGGTCAGCAGCAAAAACGTTGGTCTTTGCGGTTCCAGCCGTTTGTATAAGCGACATAGCAGTGTATTACCATCGAAGAACAGATTGCGCAACGCTCTAGTATCCTCGGAGCTGGCTTTAGCCACACCAGCAAAAGACCTGACACAAAGCAAACGGCTGCATTCCCTGGGCATGCAAAGTGATCCACCCAAAGCATGTAGACAGCGCCGCGGCATCGGTCTTGTTGATGCCCTGGCATTCTGCTGAGATGTCATGTCGTGTACGCGCACGCTGCCTAGCCAGCCTTGATGGTAGTAAGTACCTCAAGATGCCGAGCATGATGATCTTGATTCAGTCTGCCCATCAAAGCCTCGCATGGCAGGGGCACCATGGGCATCTGGCATGCGAACACAGGCCTCCGCACCTTTGCTTTGATATCTGTGAAGCGTTTCTATATACGCAGCAGCCTGCAGGAATCATCACGGAACAGCAAAAGCCTCCAAGGCATAAAGTCAACGTCTAGCGCCTCTGCATCAGTCCAGGCGAGAAGCAGTGACAACTTGCCATGAAAAGCTGCAAGTGTAACCTCGCAGTTGAACATCGGCAAGATACAAGCAGCATGCCTCATCAAGCGTGGTCAAGCCTGCTCCAAGGCCTCCTCTGGTTGTTCCACATCAACTCGGCAGAGTAAAATGCGATTGCGCCACTCTCCTGGCAGAATGCTGAATGCACGGCCAATTTTCAGCATCCTTATCAAGCCTCCAATCAGAAGAAAGCAAGCTGCTGACCTGGCCTAGGCCCTGAATTCGGCGATCTAGATACTCCGGATGAACGCGCCTTGCCAAATGCAAAATGCTGAGGCACTTGCAATAAATCTAGTAAAGGATATTGCTGCCAGGTTGCTGGAATCTCAAACTGATGAAAAGCACAGCTGTATCCGGTCCTCTGACAAACCATCGAAAGCGACGTTACAATCCATGGAGATGGTCGATACTATGCATGATTGCTTGAATAGTTGCAGCAACAAGCCCAATTTCTAAGTTGGTTGGGTTCGCCGACTCACAACAGCATGTTCGCATCAACCGAAGCTGCCAAGTACTTTGGCGGTTCATCGAAAAAGCAAGCCATGGCAAGAGAACATCTCGCCAAATAACTGCTTTCACTAACATAAAACGACAAACACAATGCAACACACTCCGGCCGCTCCACTCCACTCCATTCCATTCCACGCCACTCAACAGCAATGCACTACACTACACTACACGACGGAGCAATGCGATACTTCTCGTCATCAGGACACGATACAATGCAACGCTATAGAAATACACAATACAATGTAATGCAATACAACAACATACAATAACATGCGATAGAATCGAAGGCGGGATGCAATGCTGTGTAATGCACAATAGAACTGGTTCACCTGAAGTAATGCAACCCCATGTGGACCAGAGGCAACAACGCAAGCAGAACGAAGCAAGCACACAGGACTGACCCTCAAACTTGCGCTGCATGAAGTTTAGCACTATGGTTTCGCATGCCACAAACGCACCACCATCCTGCAAGGAAATCAGCGGATAGCGTGTCATCGGCCACAAACTCCACAAGTGTGGACCTGCACACTTGGAGCATATCATTGCTACTCGCAATTCGCTCAGGGAACTGGATTCATGATTTTACACTGTGAAACACAAAAAACTCTTCGATCGAATGGTTTGACCGCCTGGTTGCAATGTCCAGCCTGATGCAACTCAGGACGGGATTCGCTTGCTGACGAGTTCGGGCCACGATAGCCTGTCCATAACGTGATGTGCTCCAGAATTCCAAGACAAAAACACGGCATACATCTAACAAAACTGACTTTGTGCATCGACACATGGCTGTGGGTCAAAACCCTGTACCCCTGATAAAATCAAGATTGGTGGCAAATGGATGTTCATCCACCCCACAATCGAGCCATAGGTTACAGCTATATAATGAAATCCAGCTACCAGCTACCAAATCAAATCAAACAAATCCTACAAAAGGAAAACAACAAATTGGAAAAGAAACATGTTCTTGTGTCTGAGCCGTATCCGCACTGAGGACGCATTTGCAAGAGGAGGAATCGAATCCAAGTGGGGCGGGAAAGCGAGCAAAATGGAAGACAACATGACGCACTACTTTTTGATGCCTTCGGCCCTTCGAAACATCCTTCTTGTTCGAACCCTCCTCTTTTGACCTTTCCTCTTGCCGTCCTTTTCTCCACCGACCCTCTGTGTTTTTGAGACCTCCCCTCTTGTTTCGTGACCTCCGGCTGTTAAGCTGGGGTAGTCGCTGGTTCGCACGTGTTCGCATGTGTTCGCAAGCATCCGCAAGCGTCTGCATGTGGAACAAGCTGCCATTCCACTCATGGTTGTGCTTCAGGCATGCTATTCATTTGTGGATTGCAGCTGCAATTTTCCTGCCCATGGCTAATGTTTTCGCGAAGGAAGCATTGTGTTGCTGCGCCAATGTGATTTGCCCCCAATGGGATTTGCTTTCCAGGCGTGCGCAGTAATAGGTGCAATCCCGAGCTGTGGCGAATTCAAGATTGCGCATCTGTTCAAAACACCGGCGGCAGCTCTAGCTCGATGATGCGTTCAACTTCTCGCAACTAATCTTCCTTCGTGGGCCAATTGTGTCCACTGCCGATCCTGCCAACCCCAGCGCCTGACTACTCCTCGCCATGCTTCAAGCTCCTGTCTCAAAGGGCAAACCGATCTTCAACGTTGACCAATTTGGACCATGCAAGTGAGCGCACTTTGCCTTCTGTGGACACAAGTTTCCATGGTGCAGTTGGACTGCCTGCAGATATGTTCGGCAATCTTGAGAAAGTTGTTGGGCGAAGCATCCACAACGAACTGCTCGGTAGAGTGCTACATTGCAGCTTGGCAATGCTTGGCACATATCCGAAATGACTTGCTCTGCAGTCTCACCTTCGGCGAGGTTGCGCTTGCTTGCTAGATGATAGGCTTGAGAGAAACAACTCGGCTGCGCGAGCACTGCTACTTGCGACAATGAAAATGCAACTAGACGGCTAGCTTCTGGTGAATGATCCGCAGCTGCGCATGTTTGTCTTGTGTCTTTACTGACACAGCATGCATGTTGCATTGATTTGCACTGAAACAAAATTAATCAGCTGTGCCAATTTGCATACAGTCACCTGCCCCCAAATCAAGACGGCATCAACACATCGCGCAAGCATGGCTCCAATTTTTTGCGGTCACTCGACTTTGCAAGCTTCTGCGCGTGGAGACGGTGTCAAGCTTTCATGTCTTTGACATGCGTGCTCTACTTACTCTTCGCCTTCGCTTTGCTCTTCCCACCTCAGCTCACAATTTTGTCAAATCGCTAAAGTCGAGAAGGCTTAGACTCAAGGCAAAAAACACGTCCCAATTCACATTGTCCCTCGGCTGACGCAATAATTGCAGCAACTGCTGCGCCATCACCCGAAAAACACCGTCTTGAACAGCCCTGAGCAAACACGCCTGCTGACTTTGAACTTGCTTTGGCCTGCAACGGACGCGCAATGCGCCGGCGTGCCGCGCCCAGCGGCCAACGACTGTGTGCGTCGGAACAAGAATTGCGGCGAAGAACTGGCCCAACGTGAAGAATTCAACTGCGCTCATCACAAACCCTCACACAGCGCCTTCCCCTTTGCTTTCGCCTGAAGTCTTCTGCGAGAAACAGTTATCATCTGCGCCATTGCGGCTCAGTTCTCTGCGCCTTCGCCTCAGGCTCTGGGGCGTCTGCGCCTGAACGCTGGGCTGTGTTGTCAAATCTCAACGAATCGGAATTTGAACATTCAAACCAAATCCGCCGACCCCTTTCTCCAAAGGGAAGGCGCATGGGAAGGGTTTGTCTTTGTCCTTGTCTAAGTGATGATTATTATCATTATTGATGTTGGGTGATGGGTTACATCATCCAGATCATCATCATGATTGTGGCGCTCTTCTTTTTCATGTACGTTTCAAGTGTCCCTACTGGAAATGCAGAACATGCGTTGTCATGATTGTCATGATAACTGCTGCTGATGGCTGCTGGTGATGCTGAGGATGCGTAGTGATGATCACCAGCAGGATGATGATGATAAACATGATGAGGAACATGATGCTGAAAATAATGACCATCATCATGTTCATCATCATCATCATCATCATCATGTTCATCATCATCATCATCATCATCATTGTCATTGTCATCATTTTCATCATCACCATCATCATCACCATCATCATCATCATCATCATCATGTTCATCATCATTTTCATCATCATCATCATCATTTGCATCATCATGCTCCTCACCATGTTCGTGGCGCTTCTTTTTCATATACGTTTCAAGGGTGCCGTTAAAGAAATGCAGAGGATGCGTTGTCATGATTGTCATGATAACTGCTGCTGATGCTGGGAATGACGTTAACTGCTGGTGATGCTGAGGATGCGTAGTGATGATTGTCATCATCATTTTCATCATAATGTTCATCATCATCATTATTTTCATCATCATGTTCCTCATCATGTTCATCATCATCATCATCATCATCATCATCATCATCATTAATCATCACCACGCATGCTCAGCATCATCAGCAGTTATCATCACAATAATGATAACGCATCCTCTGCATTTCCAGTCGGGTCTAACAGCACACTTGAAACGTAGATGAAAAATGATGACGATGATGAACATGAAAACGATGATGATGATGAACATGATGATGAAAATGATGATGAAAATGATGATGAACATGATGATGAACATGATGATGAACATGATGATGAAAATGGTGGTGGTCATCATCATAATCATCATCATCATCATCATCATCATGTTCATCATCATCATCATCATCATCATCATCATCATCATTGTCATCATCATTTTCATCATCACCATCATCATCACCATCATCATCATCATCATGTTCATCATCATTTTCATCATCACCATCATCATCACCATCATCATCATCATCATCATCATGTTCATCATCATTTTCATCATCCTCATCATCATGATCGTCATCATCATCATCATGTTCATCATCATCATCATCATCATCATCATCATCATGTTCCTCATCACGTGGCGCTCTTCTTTTTCACATAAGTGTGAAGTTAGACCTGACTTGAGATGCAGGGGATGCCTAGTCATGATTGTCGAAATAGCTGCTGGTGATGCCGGGGGTGCATAGTTCATCATCATCATCATGATCATCATGACCATCACCATCTGATTGCATCCCGAGGTGTTCCTAACGGCTTACTTCTCGCGAAGACGAAGCGATGGCACAAAGTCCAGCAATACATCGAAGTCTTGAGAAGAAAAAAAGGCCCCCAACATGGTTTTCCTGCCCGAGTTTCCACACACACCCGGGGCACTTCTTGTAAAATTAAACAAGGCGCCTATTGTCATGCGAATTTATCCCGCAGTGGCTTGTTTGAGATGCAGGGAATGTGTCGTCATAATTATCAGAACAACTGCTGGTGATGCTAAAAATGCAGAGTAACAATTATCATCATAACTGCTGGCGATAATGCGAATGCATGGTAATAATTATCAGCATCCCTAATGGTGGGTAAACAAATGCATCATCAAAAACATCATCATTGTCGTGCTGCTCTTCTTTTTCATATATGCTTTAAGTAATTGTCATAACAACGTGCACTGTCAGCAAGCAGGGGCCGGCGGCACAGGGCGGCAGCCCTTAAATACATGCCTGATTTGCGCTGATTGCAAAAAAGTTTGCAAAGTTGAGGGAAACTCTCTCATGTTTTCGCCCAGCGGCGAGGCACCTGATTGCTTTAACTTACAAGCCTTGACTCGGGCGACGCAACCTTCAGTTTGGTATCTGGCAGGTCTGCAAGTAGATCCTCCAAGCCACGATGTTGAGCACGCTGCACGCGTGGGGTGTCCATTGGCGTTGCGAAGTTGGCCACGTGCGCTAGTGAGTTAAAGACTGGCTAGCTTCTCGCACGTCACGGGTGCGATCATACCACGACCGCGTAGCTGTAGTGAGGTTGCGCTTCGAGACTCTGCAACAACGGCCCGTCAAGCTTCGTGCTCTTAAAGGGAATCATTTCGTGATCCAAAAGCAAATCATTTCGTGATCCAAAAGGAAATCATTTCGTGATCTGAAAGAGAATCATTTCGTGCGCTTAAAGGGAATCATTTCATGATGCAAAAGGGAATAACTTCGTGATCTGAAACGGAATCATTTCGTGCGCTTAAAGGGAATCATTTCGTGATCCAAAAGGGAATCACTTCGTGATCCAAAAGATAATCATTTCGTGATCTAAAAGGGAATCATTGTGCAATCTGAAAGGGAATCATTTCGTGATCTAAAAGGAATCATTTCGTGATCCAAAAGGGAATCATTTCGTGCTCTTAAAGGGAATCATTTCGTGATCTGAAAGCGAAACATTTCGTGATCTGAAAGGGAATCATTTCGCAATCTGAAAGGGAATCATTTCGTGATCCAAAAGGGGATCATTTCGTGATCCAAAAGGGAATCACTTTGTGATCTGAAAGGGAATCATTTCGTGATCCAAAAGGGAATCATTTTGTGATCTAAAAGGGAATCATTTCGTGATCTAAAAGGGAATCATTTCGTGCTCTAGAAGGGAATCATTTCGTGATCTAAAAGGGAATCATTTTGTGATCCAAAAGGGAATCATTTCGTGATCCAAAAGGGAATCATTTTGTGATCTGAAAGGGAATCATTTCGTGCGCTTAAAGGGAATCATTTCGTGATCCAAAAGAGAATCATTTCGCAATCTGAAAGGGAATCATTTCGTGATCTAAAAGGGAATCATTTCGTGATCTAAAAGGGAATCATCTCGTGATCCAAAAGGGAATTCCTTCGTGATCTGAAAGGGAATCATTTCGTGATCTAGAAGGGAATCATTTCGTGATCTGAAAGGGAATCATTTCATGATCCAAAAGGAAATCATTTCGTGATCTAAACGGGAATCATTTCGTGCGCTTAAAGGGAATCACTTCGAGATCCAAAAGGGAATCATTTCGTGATCTAAAAGGGAATCATTTCGTGATCTGAAAGGGAATCATTTCGTGATCTAGAAGGGAATCATTTCATGATCCAAAAGGGAATCATTTCGTGATCCAAAAGGGAATCATTTCGTGATCCAAAAGGGAATCACTTTGTGATCTAAAAGGGAATCATTTCGTGATCTAAAAGGGAATCATTTCGTGATCTGAAAGGGAATTACTTCGTGATTTAAAAGGGAATCATCTCGTGATCCAAAAGGGAATCATTTCGCAATCTGAAAGGGAATCATTTCGTGCGCTTAAAGGGAATCATTTCGTGATCCCAAAGAGAATCATTTTGTGATCTAAAAGGGAATCATTTCGTGATCTAAAAGGGAATCATTTCGTGATCCAAAAGGGAATCATTTCGTGATCCAAAAGGGAATCACTTCGTAATCCAAAAGATAATCATTTCGTGATCTAAAAGGGAATCATTGTGCAATCTGAAAGGGAATCATTTCGTGCTCTTAAAGGGAATCACTTCGTGATCTGAAAGGGAATCATTTCGTGATCTAGAACGGAATCATTTCGTGATCTGAAAGGGAATCATTTCGTGCTCTTAAAGGGAATCAATTCGTGATCTGAAAGGGAATCATTTCGTGATCTAGAAGGGAATCATTTCGTGATCTGAAAGGGAATCATTTCGTGCTCTTAAAGGGATCATTTTGTAATCTACAAGGGAATCACTTCGTGATCTAAAAGGGAATCATTCCGTGATCTAAAAGAGAATCTGATGATGTCGCGATTTCGTGGTCTGGGTTGTTTCGTGGTTGAAGCCCAAATTTTGTGCTGAGATCCTTTCGGGGTTAGGAGTATTCTGTTTCAAGGGTAAGGAATATTCCTTTTTGGGGTTCGGAGGGTATGTGCTGCTTGAGCAGCGTTAAATGCAATCACAACACGCTGGGGTCCAAGTCAAACATTGCAGACGCCGATTTGAGTAAGGCAACTGCCTGATGAGCTTGCAGCCGCTGGCTCAGGCAAGTCAGCCGCCGCAGCCTGGCATGCAATGCCTTTGCATCTTGGTTTGAGGAAGTGGGTTTTAAGGGAAACCAACCGGAAAACCGGTTCTTCTGACCACACCCGGCCTGAAGGGGAGCGTCAACGCCTTAGACAAAGGCACGTCACGTCATCATCAGTGGTGAACGCCAAGGAATGAATAAGATGCTGGAATAGTTCAAAAGCCGAATGAGAGCGCCAGGGTTGCTGCCTTTCAGCACATCGCGAATTTCATCATCCTTTGCCACTGCAAAAGCATCCTTCCTGCCAAGACACCAGAAAGCAACTCAAGCCAACCAACACACCTGCCTGTAGGCATTCTCAATCAGGGGGTCGGCTTTTCTGGTCATCAGCACCTGCACATGCAAGGCGCAAGCACGGGCAACACACTGGTATGCTACTTCACCATGCTCTGCTCATGTGGAGTAGATGAGGGGAAAACAGAAACATACCGGTCAGAAATGTAGCTTTGTGGGCGTGGTACACAAAGTAGCATGCGAATGGAGGCCATGAGATAATTAGCCCGCCTGGCAAACTTTCTTGTACCCATGAAATGCGGCAATCGCGATTGGTGTCCAGCCCTTTGCATCCTGCGCATTCACGGGGAAGCCTAAGCGTGGCAAAAAGAGCCCCATGGCAGAAATGATATGCCAAGTCTGCTGAACCATTTTGCAGCAATTAGTGTGACACCATTGCCAACCCTTGAACTGCCCCCATCATCAAACATCTACAGCAGCAGCCACTCGCGATTTACGAAACGAACTAAGGTCACGACCGAATTCTTCAACAAGCAAAGAAACCACGTCTTGTTTGCCTGCGATCCCAGCAAGCTGTCTTGACACTCAATAGAACTGACATCGACACCGAAGCGCACTATGAATGGCTAAGCAAGCCAGGCTCGCCATGCATTGTGGCCACATGAAGCACATTGTTGCCCCGATCATCTCTGTAGGATGCAGCCTGCTTCCCAACATGCGCAAGCACGGCGATAACTGCACTGCGCACTTCACAAGCGATAAGGGACTAGACGAATCCCAACAGTCAGTGACCACTGACTCAACTCACCTCTTGAAATCTTTGCCAACCTTGTCGCGAGGGATGTCCAGAAGCTCGATTTTCAGAGCGTCTTTGTCACCCTGCCTGTGCCGGTAACCAGCGGCCAGGCCCAAATTTCTCACACCAAAGGGCCGCGCTCGGCGAGCTCACAGAGCTTGCCCGTCAGCTTCCGCCGCTCAAGTTGAAGCCTTTCCTGCCGACTTCCACTTTTCTTTGGTTGCTGGTTTTTCACATGATTCTTGCAGGCGCTGGCAAATTTACATGCGTCTGTCACTCTCTCTCTCTCTCTCTCTTTCTCTCTCTTTCGCTCCCTGTCTCGCTTCACTCTGGTTTGAAGCTAAGGCTGATATCTCTGTCCAGGCGGCCCCGCCTCGTCGTTTCGAACGTTCTTCTCGTCTTCTGCATCTACAGCAGCAGCTCGTGCCTGCCATTTGTTGTGACAGGAGCACCAAGACTAAACAAGTGAACAAAGGCTGATCCAAACTTGCTTGTCACTGAGACCTTTGGTCAGGCAGGCCTCTTTCAAGGTGTCAGTTTTGGAGACATCCCATGCCTTGGCTGATTGCACGACAAGCAGTGACTACGCCACCGAAATAGGGGCCTCCAGCACGGCACGTGTCTCGTCATTGCTGGCCATGTCAAAGGGGCGCTCACCATGACGATCCTGCAATATCCCACTCAGGAAGCCAACTCCAAATCGCGAGTCCCTCCTTGCTGCGTGGGTCGCTGCCGCGTTCCAGCAGCAGCTGAGCGACAGCCTGATGCCCTTGAAAGCAGGCGCGGTGCAGGGCAGTGCGCCCATCATTGCCTGCCAAAAGCCAAGGGAAGATGGTGGAGGGGTGGCGAGGAAAACCAAGCCTTGTGCGTTTGGATCACTGCCGATTGGAGCCTGCCCCATCCAGTTGGCTGACACCGCAGCCAGTCGTCACCAATGTGTGTCTGAAATTTGCCGACAGCGCCTTCCAGTCCTGGGTTCCAGAGTTGCACTCGTTTGCATCACTGCATGTCTCAGGCAAGCACCAATAGAAACTGGACCACCTCCAAGTGTCCTCGATTTGATGTGTGAGAAGCATCAGTTGTAATTTGTTGCATATTGCAACCATCAGTTGAAGAACCACATTGAAAGTCTTGCAAGACATCAAGTTGTTCTTGAGTTGGCCTAAGCAGCAGCTGTGCGACGTGTTGCTGATTCAGAATCTTCAGCATCGTTGGTGTGGGCAAAATAGAAAGCTGCTAAGAGACACAAGTCGTGCAGCAGGGAACATGATGTTCAAGGCGTCAAGACTCTGGTATCTTGCAAAAGGATGACTAAGGCCAAGAACCACTCTGATACCCATATATATATATATATGCATATATATATATGTAGGTGTCTATATATATATGTGAGATATAATATATATATATATATATTACATTATCCTATACTTAGTTATATACCTGGTGAAAATAACAATATGAGAGGTTAGGCCAGTACAAAAAGCAGAACCAAACCCGATGCAAAGCGCCGGAATGCGCCAAACATGCTGCAAAATGAGAGGGGTGGGATTGGCTCAAACGGCGGGTTTTGCATTTGACGTGATGTAGGTGGGGGTGGGTGCCTAGTGGCACAACAGAGGTTTTCAGTGGGTGTGTTGCACTTTCGCAAATTGCGCTCTTTTTACGCGCTCCGATTGACTTCGGCGTGACCCTCATGAAAACTGTGTCTCTGTTGGGTCTCCATCTTTGTCTGTGCGCCTCCTGAGTTTGCAAGAAACAGCAAGCCGACCGACCGTCCTTGGACAGCGGCTTCAGACAATGGCATGTTGCCTCGACCATCCTGGCCCACACAATTTTGCATCACGATGTTCGCCTCACAATGTTTGCACCTTCGCCATTGGGTCGGCAGACTTCTCCAATAGCTTCTGGATGGCCTCAGGATAACTGATGATCTGCACAGCTTTTTCACCTTCCAGCTACTCACCTGCCTCCAAGTCGCCATCAAAAGCATACTCCAAAAGGTCACCGTCCAGTTGCAACTGCAAGCCGGGCACTGTGCTTTCTTGGAATTTCATCATCAATATCAGCGACCTGCTCCTTGGATTTTGTCTTCTCCGTCTGCTCTCTTCCAGCCCAGCGCCCTGCATTCTCCTGGCCATGACAGAGTCCCGCAGCTCATGAAAAAAACGACATGCCTTGACGTCATGCTCTGAAACGTCCACCTGACGCAGCACCAGCTGTCTTGCACACTGGAAAATCGCTCTCATGTCACCTTCAGCGTCACCATCAGCTCACAAAGTTGAGCAGGCAGCTCCTGAACAGTGTCATTGAGCTATTATATGTACGCGCAACGCACTGCAACGCGTTCCTAGCTCTACCAGCAGTCCTCTTTTTTGGTTGCAACCACCAGCCGGAAAGCATCTTTCGGGTCAAACCTCAGCCCAAGATTGGCGATGAGGTTGCCTTTACCCATTGCCGATTGACGTTCAAAATGTTTTACTTGGAACACCAAAAACAGTGCGGGTTCTGCCCGACGCGTCAAGTCAAGAGGCACACGATGCCCACAAAACGATTTAAAAAACAAATGCCAATGAGCATGCACAATTGATTGAAGATGGTTCACACTCAGCAGCTCGAGGTTCACGCAAATGTCTAGCTACAGTGTTGCTCAGCTGAGTTGAGCAATTCAGCGGCAGGGCTTGAATTCGGGCCCCTAGGCAGAAGCGTCCAGCTTTGATGGGAATGTATAGCTGGCAAAATGCAGAACGCTGACACAAAACACGATGCAGCTGCCGGAATGCACGTACAGAGCTCAGCTGGGCACGGACGCAGCCGAGATGCGCCCAAACCGAGGCGCGCAAACAAGGCCGGGACCCGTGCCACGGGGGAGAGGACAGGATCCAGGGCTTCACGCTACGATGCTCTGCGAAACCGCCACAGTGGAACCGGAGCGCACAGGAAATTGGAGCGCGACAAGTTGCTATGGGGCCAGCAAAGCGGCCAGCCCTAAACCACCAAACCTCTTTCAAACCCTCACCCACAGCCAACGAACCCGCCGACCCAAACCCTAACCACCCATTTTCGCGAAGTCCCTTAATATCCCTTAATTACGCTACGCGAACCTCGTCCAAGCTTGAAACCTAAACCAACCCTGGGCCCGCGAGTTCTCAGGTTTCCAACTGGCATTTTGTTTCGCAAAGACTTCTTCGATTCCATTCAACACAATGCCTGCTGAGCGCCGGGCTTTTTACTAACATCCGCTACTCTCTCCGGAGCGTGGCATTTCGTCCTGTCCTGGCATCACACATGACACACTCAGGCTCGCTGGTTGCAAATTCTCTAAGCGCGTCAGCATGTCCTGGAAAGCACCATCTGCCAAAGCAGCTTGGTGTTCATAGGTGACCTGCCCAGTTGTGAGGCACCCCGGCACAGATCACCTTATTCCGGGCAAATGAGGCAGAAAGTTGCGGGAAATCAGATGATGAAACGTTGTGTCGGGTATTGCCTTCAGATTGGAGCGCGGAGAACGGGCGAGCAAAGCATTCCAACACGCAATATATTGTTGCTTTAAAAAAAGAAAATCATGCGTGCTGTAGCTGCAAGCAAAATGTATGTGTACCCTTCCAACCCCCTATTGGGGGACCCCGGCCATAGCCCAAACAATGACAAGAGATGCCCGAATCCTTCATGCTGAATCACTTGGTGCATCAGCAACATCCTCGAATGATGAGCACAGGCACAATTGCCCGCAGGGCCTTGGCCGCAAACTCATCGGTTGGCCGAAGCAACGGCAAGTAGTTCTCCTGCGCAAATCAACACTTCACACAAAACTGGCATGTGCTGATGAAGCGAGGTGTGCTAGCCTCGCGCACGCACGTGCATGCGCAGCGTTTGCTGTTGCGAACACAATCGCGAGCGCACCCTTCTACCTGACCAGGACTCACGAGCGCTTGAACTCTGAGGATTTCTGGGCGAGGTTCGCGACCACTCACACGCCCGATCAGTCGCTCAGGCTGGATCTTGTCAAAAGCCCTTAAGCAAGGTTCCGTTTGACGTTTCCACTGGCGCGCGCTGCAAAAAACTCTCGGCGCTAAACAACCGTGTTTCCCTTCCCGGCCAGACCTCTTCAATGAACAACTCTCCAAACTTGAAAACAGCGCGGCGCCCGCGACGGTGATCCGTGAGAAGCAAATCCGGCGATCAAAAACTATTGGTCTTCTGCTGCAGGCCAAGTCCCTCCAAAATTCATTGACTGAGCTTGAACATGGCGGAAATTCACAACGTAACAAACACTGGTCTCTACGAGGCCCAAGGCGCTTGAAAACCTTGCGCCTACCCTCGTGCGTCCGCGCGCGACAACAACAATGGGGACACCAGCTCTGACATCGAAAGCTGCGTCCTCTCGACAAAAGCCAAGAGCAATCGGCATGGACACCGTTGCCTGCTTTGCGGCTTCTCTGCCGCATCATGGGCGGCTGGAGGGCTCGCCCAAACTCAAAGGTTCCCTGCTTGTTTCGTCAAGGCATGTGTGTGGGAGGAGGGGGGGTGGGCCGGGCGCGCCCCCGCTCGTGCGTGCGTGCGCTCGAATCACTCCTCCAGAAAGAGCTCGTGCGGCGATAGAACCAACTCGGGGAAGTGATCCTGGAGAATGCGAGGCTGTAGAATTTCGAAACATCACAGCAATTTTGGCGTTCATGGTCCAGCTTGCTTAAATGTATTAAACCATGTCCTTGTCAAAGTAAGCTGACAGGTCACACTCTAGGGTGTCAAAGTCGAGCACCATCCAGGCGCCATTATGCAAAGCCTGCGTCTGGCAACGACCTCTTTCTCTCTCTTTCTCTCTTTCGCTCTTTTTCTCTCTTTCTCTCTCTTTCTCTCTCTTTCTCTCTCTCTTTCTCTCTCTTTCTCTCTTTCTCTCTCTCTCTCTCTCTCTCTCTTGCTCTCTCTTGCTCTCTCTTGCTCTCTCTCTCTCTCTCTCTCCTCTTTCTCCCTCTCTCTTGCTCTGTCTCTCTCTCTCTCTCTCTCTCTCTCTGTATGCCCAGGCAAACGCCTGAACAAGCGCTTTTCGCAAGGTTTCTTTGTCAAAGTCGCCCTTCTTGAGAATTGACAAATAGCGTCTGGAGCGGAGCATAGACAAGGCAAATGTCTGCTTCGGTGGATCCGGCCATCACAAGTAGGCACCAGTTGAAACCAGCCAGGGTTGAACCCTAAACTCATTGCTAGTCAAGCTGACTCAACCTACCAAACCCAATTTGAGCTGGAAACATAAGCCCGTATTAAAACTGTTATCCCAAGTTGTTTTCATTGCAAATCCAAGCGGCGGTCTTCATAAGCATGAGGTCCCCCAATAGTAGGCCCCTTTAAGTGTATGACGTCTCATGTCTATACACCGCTGCAAATGTTCTGCTAAGAAATTCACTCGGCAAAATTGCTGGGATCTGCAGAAAAAGGAGAATGCAAAACACAGAAATGGGCCACGCGCGACTTGCGAGGGACTTGCGCGTGATTATGATGATGATGATGATGATGATCATGATCATGATCATGATCATGATCATGATGATGATCATGACCATGATGATGATGAATCACTGTGTCACTTGCGCTTCACTTGCGCTTTACTTGCGCAGCCCTATGTTTGACTTGCGCGGCAGCTCCTGCAACACACTCCTGCCCTTCAAATTACAAGCGGCAGTGCAGCTGATACCAGGTGAGCTGTTGTGGTGTTGGTGTTGGTGCAACGAGGACGCCCACAACCGACAAGCGCAAACAATCACAACGGCAGCCACAACCACAATGGCAGCGCAATGGCAACGCAACGGCAACAACAATAACCTGCAAGAAGCACAAACCAAGTCATGGCTGTGCAACTAAGCGCCGCACCCTCGGTACTTGAGAAATTGGCAAGCTTGACCTGTTGCATCCTGTATCAACGGATACTTTGCCGTTGTGTAGACCTCCAGTGCTTGCGCAGCAAAAGCATAGCACGATGCTCAAAACTCTCGTAACCGTCCATTGCAAGCAGCCAAGCACGCCACGCAATCATTGAGCTCCGTAGTAATATCTCGAAGTTTGATAGCTTTGCTAGCCTGTGGCAGCTTTCACTTCAATGCGGCTCGTGACGTCATACCGGTGCAAGAACGAGCATGTCGTTGACACCCACTGCAATGGTGCTGTTTACATGCTTCATCTGAGGTTAGTGCCATCGGATTGTCCACAGGTGCCTGAATCAAAAAGAGAAGCAATCAAACGTCTAAACAGTCTACCGCTCTAGTGTATTTGCCAAACAAGGAACCCGCTCCAGCCTTGACTTGCTGCTGACGACAAATCACACCATGCTTTGGGTGGCAAGTCTTGGCTCACTGTCCTTTGAGGATTGATGATAGCGTCCACGCAGCGAAGCGTATGTGAACTTGCTTGCACGCAGCAGTCTCATGATTGCTCGCGAAAGGTGCTTTCTGAAATCGACCGGCATCCAGCAGTTCAATAAGTGCAGCCGAGATGAACTCAATCGGCTGCGGAGCAAAGAGCGCGTGCGCATTGCTTGGTCAAGTTCTAAAATGCAATGCGATGCTGCCAGGCGCCAGCTGATTTCAAAGCGCAAAGGTCACGCTAAAGACATGGACGAGCTGGACATCCACTTTGAGGCCACGAGCTCGCCGCTCAAGGAAGCAGGCCTAACAAAGTTGAGAGATCCCTTTGCTAAGCGAGATGGACAAACCCTTCGAGGCCTCTCTTCTGATAGTCACGCCGAACTCTCCGCTCGCTTGAATTTTTCGTGCCTGCGCAGCTCTCGATGAAAGCAACAATCCGGAACTCAAGCCAAGCCTGAATTGCCGACACGGCGAGCATCCTTCCTATCAAACTTCTTCTTGAAAAGCCTTCGCGACTCTGCGCCTCAGGAATGCGATGCACTGGTTCCGGTCACCTGATAGCACCCCGTCCAGGGCAAGCCACTAAGTATGGAGCGAGCGAGCTGCTGCAACTGAATCTCGCGATCTGTTCGTCGATTATCTACACCTGAGCCCGGAGCAGTCAGGCAGTCAGGCATATATATATATATATATGTATGGTCCAAATATACCCTTCTGGCATAAACACTGAGGCTCGCACGCCCTGCCTCAACCAGATATTTTCGAAAGTCCTTGCAGTTGGGTTCAACTCCAAGAGCCAACTCAATCAGCCACAAACTCGACCAGAGTGCCCCAAATCACAAGTCGTGCAGCACACGTAGCCTCTGCATGCTGCTTTGCTTTCATGAAGCCGTAGCTTGCTCGAAACCAGCGTACTCGATGCCTGTCCTCACCAGTTCTGATGCGAGCATTCCAGGCGTGCAACAAGGCAAACAAAGCTGCTGAAATGTTGAAGCAAAAATGGCATCCCTGCAGTCAATCGCCTGCTCCCACCACTCGACAGCCCAAACGTTCACCCTGGGGAAGAACATGATGCCTGAAGACAACGGATGACACTGATTCAAATGCTGTGAAGCTAGCCTGGCAGTACGGACATGTCGGGGGGAACGGGATTGAAGGATGCATTGTAGCGGCGTTCCTGCAGGTTCGGCCGTTCACTGTGCTTCACAACGTGCAGCGTGACTCGTGATGCCATTTAAATGATACACGTCAAGCGTCTGTCCTTCCAGAAAGTTCCACCCAGGAAGTTGTAAGGCCAATCAGAGCCAAGGTACCTATGCAACACAAATTTGTGGCATGGTCAACAAGCTACTACCATGTCGCACTCGCCGCTCCGAATCGACTCGATGAACTGCTGATGACGGTAATTCTTTGGAATGTACCTTCCAATCAAGGTGTGGACATGTGGGATGACTCTGACAGGGCTGCAAGCTTGCCTCGCGACACCATTTGGCTGTCCATCTATCTTGACGGTGTGCTCCATCTCCTATCACTCACCCACAGTCACACGAATATCCTTGCAGTCACGTAAACAATTCTGAGGACGCTTATGGGCCTGCGGCCTGCACGCATCGATTCCCAGACACTCTGCCGCGCAAG